TCTTTCCCTGTTCCCCCAAGAAAGGAGAAAAAAAAAAAAAGCCCCAGCATATATCTAGCTCTTTTTTCCTCATGCAGTTAAACCTAACCTAGATGTAGGTGGAAATCTGAATGTCACTTTAATCCAAGTATTGCCGTAACTAGATCATAAATTGAACCACCATAAGTAAAACAGACCCTGTTATTTTAGGATCACTTTTATACCTAGTACGGTAGTGGTTGCAAGTACAGCATCAAGTGACTTCAACCATTTCTTGTGTTTGCCTGTGTTTTGCAGGATGGACATGTGGAAGTGGCACGCTTGCTTTTAGACAGTGGTGCTCAAGTGAATATGCCTGCAGATTCCTTTGAATCTCCACTCACTCTGGCTGCTTGTGGTGGACATGTGGAGTTGGCTGCTCTTCTGATCGAAAGGGGAGCTAACCTTGAGGAAGTTAATGATGAAGGTTATACTCCTCTAATGGAAGCTGCCCGGGAAGGCCATGAAGAGATGGTAGCCTTGCTACTGGCACAAGGTGAGATCACTGTTGTTTCTTAAGCATTTGTGGTGAAGAATGCAGTGTTGGGTGCTCGCCATTGGGTATTCTCTGCAAATTCCTCTGATGTAGCCTGTGGCTGTCACCGCTTATTGCTGCAACTACAGAGCAAAGCTAAAACACCCAAACTGTGGAGGTGATGAGCATTCACCTTTCTACCCCGTGGTCTGATTAGTTGAAATAACAGCTATTTTATTTTTTAGGGGCAAATATAAATGCGCAGACAGAGGAAACGCAGGAAACTGCTCTTACTCTGGCATGTTGCGGAGGGTTTTCTGAAGTAGCTGACTTCCTTATTAAGGCAGGAGCTGATATAGAACTTGGTTGCTCAACACCTTTGATGGAAGCTGCTCAAGAGGGTCATCTTGAACTGGTGAAATACTTGCTGGCAGCAGGTATGTGTACAGTGCAAATGATCTACCCTCAGGTATTACAGACTCAGTGTTCTATATGATTTAGACAATACCGGGGCTTGATGGTGGCAGTGTTGTAACAATGAACTATATTCTCAGATACCTTAGCAGGAAGAAAAAAAGCATATGTTACATCTTAATATTGTTTGATACTGCTTAGAGAGGAAAGGGCCTCCTGGAGCAACGTTGTTTCCTGTTTAACTGCATTTAGTACATAATGTTAATACAGATAATGCTTGGTTTTTTATATGCTACTCCTGCTTTGACTGAGCCTGATTACCTGCAGTCAGTCTCTCTGAATAACCAGTACTTTAGGAATTGTGCCCTGGGAAATGGTATGCAAGACAGATTCTAGAGTGTGCTGAATTTGTGTCACAAGTGAGTTTTTTACTTCTGTATAATGTAGTAGTAGATTAAATCTTGCTGGACGTGAGTCCATCTGACAGTTCATCTGTCAGTTTAAAATTGATAGAGACTAAAGTGTAGTAATACTGCTTAAAATAATAAGTAAAAAGGAGCTGTATTTTGGAAATCTTCCTTGCTATTGGAGGTGATTTATTTGTATGCCCTTTTCTAAGAATACGTATAAAATTGTCTGGATTTCTAATTCTAGAAAGTAGTGTTCCCTGCTCATCGAGGGACAGTAACAACTGTGTCTTTGTGCTCTGATACCACCATGTGACACCCATTGCCAGCTTACTTGGAATGCTACTTGCACTTCTGATAATGTAGAAAGTTCATTGAGGAGCCTTGTTTTGGCATCAGGGAGTCTCTAAATATATCTCACACCTTGAAAATAAGAAAATGGCTAATTACATTGGCATTTTTTTTTGAAGAGTAATGCATTTCATAGCAAGGATCATGCATAGTTTTCATGTAGCTGGCATACATGAAGCTAGTCAAACTAAGTCAACAAAATAATTTTAAAGCAAATGACTTTAAAGAGCAGGGAAGGAATGACATTTATAGAAGTGTATGGTCTTGTAGTTTTGATACTAAGCATGCATTTTGTCTGGTTTTCCTTGGCATGCAGCTCTGTCAAATGAATAGTCTAGACAACTGTCTGGATTCACTTTTATTTGCCCTAACAATTGAAACCTTCATTGCTGTAGAGGAAACTTAGGAATATAGTGAGCATATAGGTTTAAGCGCTTAGATTGCCAGTGATGCTTTTTCCAAGACTTGGCTTATCCCATCTCTTTGGAATATTTTTTCTGCAAGAGCAGTTTTTGCCATGACAGCAATGCCCATGGGCTGTGGAGGCTGTTGGTCAGTTGGATATAGTTCTTGTCACAGATGAAGTGCCTTGATTTTTGTGTTTCTGATATGAAATACTTGATAAAGAGATGTCGAGTAAGAAAGAACTAATGTGTTTCTAGGAGCTAATGTTCACGCCACCACTGCGACAGGAGATACAGCTTTGACCTATGCCTGTGAAAATGGACATACTGATGTTGCAGATGTGTTGCTTCAAGCTGGTGCTGATTTGGTAAGACTTGTGCTGCATCTTGTGGGGAAAGTACTTTCAAACTGTATGCCAAAGCTCATATGTTTGTAGAGCAGGAAGAGCATTTTAGCAATTGATCACATATGGGTGTGAAAAGAGGCATGAAAAAGGCTTTTAAAAATCCTGCTTATTCTGTTTAGTTTAAAAAATTCTTACTGGTTAATCTTTCATCTGTTAAGTGAAAAGTTTTAGCTATATCTTACACTTGTGACAGTTGATTATCTTCATTTCAGTATAATCCAGAAGTTTAACTGTTTAGCAGGGTACATTTCTGCATTGCCTTTATTCGTTATGCTACTTTATCCCAAACAGTTGTGGATTAGAGTTTACGTGCTTCACTGCCCTAAATTTAAAATGTTTTAATATTAGGAACTACTACTTCCCCATTTTAGTGTTAATTACTGAACACTGAGAGTCTCAGCTGCTTAAAAACTGTAACAAAACCCCTCAAACTAAGCAATGCCTTTTAAATGACAGCATAATATGATCTCTTTGGTTTGCTCCACAACTCTCTTCTTTCTTGTAACTCGTGGTTTTAGCATACTGTTTTCACAGTGTTTACTTTCTGTAATGCATTTAATCATAATGAAGTTGTTTACATAGCTGTCTTGGCTTTTTTTGGTGTTATGTAGCCAGAGACCTAAAACTGCCTCATCAGCTCCAGGGATGTGATGTTTGTTTAGCTTTTGAGAAGTAAAAAGCAATTGATACCTTAATCTTCTAAAGGAGTTCAGGAGTCTTATGTCTAATAAGACATAAGCAGGGATGATTTGTTCTTTGGTTGCCTTTTTGGGTTTTTTCTTCTACTACTATCCTTTTTCCACATTCTCTGCTTGTGTGGGGCTTTTTTTTGTTTGGGGAGGGGGTTGGGTTTTTGGTTGGATATATTAAGGTTTTTTCCTGCCTTTTAAATAACAAGAACACCAGAAAATATTATAATTGAATCTGAGAAATCAGCACCCTAATGAAGTTACTTAAATTTCAGTCTAAGGGGTTTATTTTTTAAGTTTATATTTACAAATATTAATAAATCAGTGCTGTAATTGTGAATTAATAATACTTCCACTTTGCTTTTGAATGTATTTTTTTCTAGGCCTTACTAATTCTTCTGCACTAAAGTTCTGCTTCATGTGTTCCTACGAGGGAGAAGGGTCATGTTGATGGGCGGGATGGGGGTGTTGGCATATCTGCTGCACTTTGCTCAGTTCACGTTGGGTACTGAGCATCAGCCACTTTAGTAGAGGCAGGATAGGTTTCAGGCGTTTCAAATTTTTTTTTTTTTTTAATACCCAGTAAGTGCTTGGGTATAAAAAAGGTATAATCCCTGAAGAATCTCATAATGAGGAGCAAAGCCCAAATCAAACAAACAAATTGCTGTGCGTAAACTTTTAAAAACGTGCAAGTGCTGCTGCTTAAATCTTACTTGAAATATAAGACTTGTCTTTTTTTCCCCCCTTTCATGACTAAGGTGAACAGTGCTTGCGGCTTTTAGCATTTAGTTCTGATCAGTATTTCTGAGAAATCTTTCTAAAGCCTTTCTAAAGTAAGTTTTATTTTACTGCATTTTTTTTGTACTGCCAATCAAAATGGGGAGCTGTCAAGAAAAATACAGTACAGAAGCAATGGAAAATTGCACATAAAAGGGAGACCTGTCCTATAAATCCACCTGTTTTGAATTCTGATTGTAAGTAAATGGGGAAATGCCTGCAAAACTGCAGCAATGCTTATGGCAGGTGCCTTGGGTTGGTGCAGTTTCCTTTCAAACCTCTGTGTTGGTTTGCTTTTATTACAAGTTGTAAGCTGTTTTTAATAAAGCTGTTTTTATAATTGCTCTGAGGAAGGTTTCTGAAGTGTGTTGCCTTACTGCTGGAGTATGAAAAAGCTTCTTTGGTAGTAGTGTGGGAGATAATTATTCTAGTTTTCTGTTTTCTTTGAAATAATAAGGTTTGATTTCACCAAATTGTTCCAGAAAGTCTGTGGTGGAGTAAGGAGTTGAGTGCAGATCTGGACTTAGACCTCTGGTTGGTCCGTCTTCATTTATCTAGTTAATTTTGTTCTCCTGGTGTTCAGACATAGCAAATGAAAGTACATCTTCAGATGCTTTTTCTTTCCTTTTTCATCTTGCAACTTCAGTCTTCCCTGGGATTGCTTTCATGATGTTTCATTCATTTCCAGAAACCTTCATGCCTGAGGTTTGTTTCACAGTCACTGAGGAGCTGATCATACAACATTTTAACCTGTTGTGGAGTGGTCGTTTTTGTCTGAAGTGCTGGTCAGGTCTTGAACAGTAAAATAAAACGGGGCTGAGGGCTGCTCTCTGTTTGGAAGGACAAATGACACCACTGAACACATCCATGCTGTGCAGCACTTGACCTGACAGGCCACTGAGCCTGGGGCTGTGCCCCTGTGTCTATAGAATGTCAGTGGCTGCAATGCAACCCAGCAGAGCAGTGTTTTCATAATGCGGTACTGGGAACATATGTTGGACACCCCTGGGTTGTGGGATGAGGTCTTGAAGGGGTTCTTGAGGGTGCGAAGGCTCTGAGATAAGTGGAGACTAACTTGATGTCACATTTTCTATGCTGCTTGTTGGGAACAGTCCCTGGTCACCTTTTCTCCTGTGATTCTTGACAGGGCCAGCGCAGTGCCAGGAAAGGGTCTAAAGGAATAAGCAGTGTCAATGACCAGTGATCCCGTACCTTAGGAGATCAGGCTTGTCTCCTGGCCCTGTTTTGTTTAGCTGTAGAGATGCAGCCACTGCTAGATTTTGCTGTTGTTAACTTTGTTTCGCATGCCACCTGCCTATTCTGTTTTCATCCAGAGAGGAAGGCAAGGGGAATAGGTTTTGAGGATTTTTCTTCTCCCTGATTCTAGAGTGAGGAGAGAAAGTTGATAGTTGAAAGTTACTTACTCCATTTCTTCCCAATTCAGAGCTTTCATTCGATGATTTAGCAAGCATATGATATAGTTTAAGACCTGACATCTTTCTTGGTTTCTCAGGTCTCTCCAATTGGCACAAGGTCAGGACTGAGTGGGATTGCAGGTGGGAAGAGGAGCCTCTCTGATGCTGGGTTGGCAGAGGGCAGGAGATATTTCTGTCAGGCTGCGTTCCTGTATTGTGTTCATGGAAGGCCTCAGTTTTCAAACTTGCCTGAAGTTACCCAACTCACTCAACTGATTCCTGTGTGTTGCTCATGTCCAGTTGAGGTTTTCTCAATCTCAAAATAGAACTGTGAGCCAAAGTTTGAGCATGTTTATGATGAGGGTGCTGAGGCACTGGAACAGGTTGCCCAGAGAGGCTGTGGATGCCCCATCCCTGGAAGTTTTCACTAGGTCAGATAGAATGGGGCAACCTGGCACCTGAAAGGTGTCCCTGCCCATGACAGGGGAGTGGACGAGATGGTTATGAAGATCCCTTCCAACCTGAACCGTTCTGTACTCATACGATAAATGATTCTAGTCTGCAGTACAGGTTTATCTGAACTGGGAGGGATTATTACCACCATGTCTCAGCACAAGAAGTCTGTTGTTCTTGCAAGTAGAAAACTGGAACTCTCGCTTTTCAGGGATTGATCCTCTGGCATAGATATCAAGTATGTAATTCACTTCAAGAACCAGTAAAGATCTTGAGAGCTCTGGTAGATTCATTAAGGAGTGTAGCTTTATAAGAACCAGGAGAACTAAAAGGAAAATTATGTTTGAGATTAACTTTCTTTGGTCTGTGGTTAATTTTTACCTAAAACACTGCAGTGACAAGTTACAATAGAAATGAACAGTGTCAGAGTACTTACCTGTTTATTTGCTGGAGAGCTGCTCAGTCATGTATGGTACTTTGATGAATTTATATCTCCTTGTGACTGATGTTTATGAAGTCTGGCTTATTACCAATTATTCTGATGCCCTTCTTTAAGGGATCTGTCTTCTCCATGTCCTTACAAGGAAAAAGTCAAAATCTATAGCAAAACTAGCTTGACAGGCCAACACCTCTCCTTATTAATGTATGCCTTTTGAAATCGGTTTGCTTTTGCCAAGTATATGAATGACTTAATATGAGGCACGTCTGAAGACTTCAGCCTGTGATCCCTTCTGTGCCTTAGTTGCATTCTAGTTCCATTATTGCCTGCAGGACTAGGGCCTTTCAGGGTCTTAGTCTGAGCTCCTGCCACTGGACCATATGTAAATTTATTTATGGGGACAAAACATCTGCTAATCAGGAGATTAGAAGTCTGAAGTATGACTTCATAAAAGCATTTTGAGCACTTCATGCATACCACCAAAGTGGTGGTATGGTATAACAGCTTCAGGAAAAAATAATCAGCCCTTCAGTAATACAGTTATTTGCCTGTGTGGCACGGATTTGTCTGATCTCAAAGGTGAGAGGAGACTCTTTTTCCTATGAGTGGTGTTTTTTTTTTTCCCCCCTCCTTTGTGTCTTTACTAGCAGTTACCTTCATCTCAAAGCTTGTATAAGGGAAGACATGCGTGGTGATATATGTTCCCACAGGATATAGGTTAAGGGCTTTAAAGCTCACAAAGACCATTGGTGATATATAATGAGAGGTAATATTCTGCTTTTAAGCTGTATACCGTTCTATAAACTAAAAGTGCCTGTTTAGATGCCTGTTCCCATTTAATGCAGAATCAGACCTGAATGAAATGCTGCACACTGGAGATGGCAGTGTCCTTTTTGAAAGCACGACTGCTCTTGACAAGGTGGTTGTATCTTTGCCTGTTTCAGCGTAGCTGAAAACAAAAGATTGTTCTTTTTTTGGACAGCAAGAAGATCCCAGCTTTTCTCAGTTGTGAAGTACAGAAAAGAGTTTTATATTGGTATTTTCTAATCTGGGCTGCCTTGCAGCTGTACATGAGGCTCTGCTGCATGGGAGCAGAAGATGTCAATTTAGTGATAGAGTTTACCCTTCTACTGCAAGATACATGGGTGCTTTTATGCTGAAATTGAGAGATGGAAGAGAACCGTTGAGGGCAGCTTCATCCTTGCATTCTTCTCATCTTACACTGTCAGGCTCTCCCCAAATCTCTTTATACTTGTTAAAATTCCGTGAGTGGCTTTCCTTAAAAGACTGAAACTGGCTACCTGGAGTCCACATAACTCTGGTTGCAAAACAAAACAAAAAAATCAATATGGGCATGCCAAGCTAACTCTTGATTCTTCCCCTGTGAGAAAGTATTTTTACAGAGAGATGTTTTTGTCATTGCAGGGATCACTGCTTTCCCTTCAGCTCATATCCCTTACATAAATGTGACTCCTTAATTAGCAACTCACTTTCCTTTATACGTATGGCACACTGCCTGTTTGATGCAGTGTGCATATGGCAGCATTTAAATGTGCTGTAAACAAAAGTAGACAATACTGTATGGATTTGAATGAAACTATGCTGGAGATAGCTATGCTGTCATTACGGTGATGGAGCTGAGAAGCTGCCGTGTTTTTTCCCTTCTGTTTCTTGAACCATCAGGAGAAGGTCAAGGATTTCAGGTCTTTTTAGACTTGACCCTCGGTCTTCTACAAATAAAACAAAGGGTTGTAGGACACGTATAGTTTAACTTCTGTAGTTAACACCTTTCGGATGTTATGTTGCAGTCTCTGGATGGTGCAAAGTATGATGAAATCTTCTCTTTTACTAGTAGTGAACAAAAAGTCATCTTGTATTTAATGAGATGCTGTGTATGACCTTCGTGCTCTCTTCATGAATCTGAATGGCTTGTGGAAGGAGTCTTAACTGGCGAGAGCTGCATTGCTTGGTCTTACCTTTGTGCTTGCTTGCCTAATTCCAGTAAAGCAGAGTTTTGAGCTTGTGGATCTGATCCATTTAAATTCACATTCCAGGTCTTCATGACCAAGAACAACATTTATATGTAGAACAAGAGCCGTGAGTTCTTCTTTTTCCTTCCGCAGGACAAGCAGGAGGACTTAAAGAAGACTATTTTGGAGGGCATAGAGCCGGGCAGGCATCAGGTGAGGTTGGCCTTTGATGCTTGTAAGCTGCAGCCTCAGGATACATGCTAATGACAAAGCATGCTTTAAGGCATCTATGTTTCTCAAAAAAAAACCACCATACTTGCTCTGTAGAGTAGATATGTCATCTCTGTCCTGCATTTTCCCTTCTGTTGGGTTTTCTAAAACCCTTTTTTTAAAAACCAGTATCTCAACCTTCACAAATGCAGCATTACCTCACTGAGTCTACTAGCACAAGTAGCTATGTTAAACCTGCTAGTACATACCTAGCTTCCTGTAAAGTCTTCCTTTTTATAAACTAGAGGCCTAGTTGAGTTTTTTGGTGCTTCTGAAATACTGGTTTGGTCTAATCTCAGGCAGGTTATTTGGGACAGTTAGGTTGGTAACTGCTAGAATACTGTATCTGTGGATCAGAGTTCAACCTTGGAAATTAGCAAAGTGGCATAGTGTTAGGAACTGTATTGTTTCACTGTTGTCTTGCATAAGGAACTTTGCCTAAATAATTTTGCTTGGAATAACTTTTAGATTGCTGTTAAATACTCACTGTTGTCATAGATGGGAGGAGCTTAATAAAGAATTGAAGAGAGTAGTTGGACCTTTACTTTGAAAATGCAAATTTTGTTCTCGAACTTTTAACAAATAACGTACGACATTGGAAAGAAAAACTTGAAGAAATGTCCTTGTAAATAATATTTGCTGACCATGCGTACGTGTGAATGAAGGAGAATAACTGGGGGGTGTGTGTGGGGAGGGGGAGAAGGGGAGGAGCCCTTATGTAGCTGATCTTGAAATTGCCTAAACCAGCGAACTCAAAATCTAGAAGAAAAATAATCAGTGGTTGTCATAAGATACTTCTGATGACACTGCTCTTGCTCTGCTCTCTGAAGTATTGATTTGTATAGAAAGGAAATCACTGCTGCTGACTGGATTCTCATCTCCTTTCTGAGTCTCAGTAGAGAAGGCTTATATAAATGTAAACTCTTACTGATTTGGGTAATACTGTCATTCTTCCCTTCCTTCCTATCTGCTACCCAAACCTACAGAAAATTCTTGGGTGTTGTTTTTGTTCAAGCAGGATTAGCAGGAGAGCACATCACTCAAGTGTGTATAGAATGGCTTTTCTAGTCAAAACTCAACTAGGTGTTCTCCTTTATTCCTCTTTCTCATCCCACTAACTGCAGTATTTCTCACGATTGGAGCAGTGAAGAGAGAATACTGTGGTGAGTCTTACAGCACAGATAGCTGGGGAAATGGTCTTTGGAGATGAGTACTCCTTGCTAGGTATTTTTCTGAAAGAATGAGCATTTGCCTGTATTTCATATTACAAAGAAGCAGCACATTGGAAACCTGATGGGGGATGCTTTTTGGACACCTTTCATGCTCTTTGTCCTGATTTTGATTATCTACGGCAGCTAAAAAAAAAAGTTTCTTTGAAATTTATGGCTATTCCAGGTAAAAGAGAGGATGTGAGTAGACAAAGGCACTGCACCTGCTGAGCTGCTTATTTTGGCTCGTTCTAGATGCCTTCCCTTAAAGCTTGAGTTGATGCTATCTGCTAGCCTTCATTAGGGCTGAACAGAGTTGTGAAGTAATATATTTTATTTTAAGATGAAATTAATTTCGCATTTCTATCTTCAAATGGTAAAAACATCATCAAAATACAGTAACTTTTGAAGATCTACAGCAGGTGGGCACACAAATGGTTTCGTTTGGCTGAACTTATGATGTGTACAGTACTGCAAGTGGTCAGAGTATGTAATAGTTGAAGAGCAAGTTCTGCCTGCTTGATGAGGTGACAGTTGGTTAAACCGGGCAGAATAACTGCATTGCATTTAAATGAGCAAGCCTCCTGACATCCATGTTTAAGACTTCAGCGATGACGTCTGTTAGGAATAGACAATGTTGCAAATAATCTTACTGCTAGTTATCTGAAATGCTATTTGAAAGCAATATAGGATGGCTTTTCCCTACCTTGAATATAGCTAGAATGGCCTAAAATAAATTTTGCGTCTTGCCATCTTTGCTGTTGCATTGATGGGGATTTAGAAATGTTTATTAAATTATTTGGGCAGTGATATTCTGGGCCTGCTCAGTGAGTGAAGTGGTGTTTAGTAGTTCTTTTCATCCATAGCTGCTTTGTGAGTGATTTGCCGACAGTAGCGGGGGTTTGCTGTGCATAAGGCAAACAGCAGTATCTGGCTTTTTATTATTGGCAGTGGCTGAGGAAGGAAAAACTATGCCAAATAGCAGGATAAGCATCAGAGCTCAAGGGCATGCTACTATGTCTCTGACATCATAAGGCTACATCCTAGCATAATTAGCTTTACATGTCCTACAAATATTTCTGACATGCAGACAATCCAAAAGCATGCATATATTTATTGACAGCTAAGCAGACATCTGCTCTAGGATTGGGATCGACCTTTTAAAAAAAAAAAAAAGAGGAGGTGACTCCAGTAGTGTGTAAGGTTTCCTATCTGCCTGGGTGCACCTATGCGTGAAACTACCAAGTAAGCAAAGACATCAGAGCACTGATGTGGAGTTTAAATGTGTGTTAAAGCAGTATACAATAATACAAACTTGTATGAAGGTGCAGGAGCAGAGCGTTTCTCTCTCTGCAAAGCATGTAGGAGAGGGGGTAGTGTAAACCCAGTTACAGCAAGGGCTTGGTTTGTATATTCTGCACAGGGTCAGTCTCCATTAGAAGATCTAGTCGAGAGATTTCTTCCCTGAGCGTATGAACAGAAAGCTAACTTAAGGTGCAGCTTGCAACCAAAGCAAGCCCTATGCAAAGGACATATGCAGAGTTTTCAAGAATACTCAAACTATGGGAAGAAGCTGATTTGTTCTGTCAAATCTATTCTTGTCCTTTTACATTTGTAAATAGCAGTATCATCCACTGTCAGTATTAAATGTTAACTTTCACTGTCAGATACACATGCCATTCCAGAAGTAAATAGTTAATTTAGAGCTTGACTTCCCAGTTATTCAATAAAAAAAAAAAAAAAACCCAAAACCAAAAAAACCCACAAAACCCCACAAACCAATGTCTCAGTATATTATTGATCAGACTGAATATTCAGAGCACAAATAGAACCATTGCCAGGAAGATGATGCTCTCTCCCCTTGTTGTGGGAGGGTATTAGTCAGGATTGTTTGTGCTATTGATCATGCCTATATAGCAGGCAAACTTTCTAGTTCTCTAACTTTCTCATACAGTTGTATTCAACCACATCTTTCCGGTATTCAGAAAATTTTGAATTTGAAAACTGTTCTTGTCGCGCATTCCTTTTTTATTGGTTTATATGATCCTTTTGTCTTCTTTCTGCCTTATTCTCCAGTCCTCTTATTCAGAGACTTTTTTGACTTGCAGTGGTGTGTCTCATTTATTGCTGATCCTCTTCAGCACGTTTTAAAAATCTTGTCTGCACTTCAGACGCTGTTGCAGTTTTGAACGTCTGGCATGCAGCATGTGAAAGCCCCCAGAGTTGTTGCACATAAAGTCATAGTCATTTGTATACTTCCTCATGCAGGATGGTATTTGTGTGAAGTCGTTGTCCCTTTTTGAGGAGGAAACAAACTGTTACTGTTCTCAAGTATGTTACACGTTTGAACACTGCAATAAAAGAGGGTGTGTAAGTAGGGAAGCTTCCTTGTCTGATAACAGCATGGATGTGGTCTTAATGCTTTTTGACAGTGTGATGCCTTATTTAAGGTAACATAAAAATTGATTCCAGTCATCTTATATTGATTACAGTCAGCTTATAAGATAGATCTTCTACTGAGATAGGTAATTCTGGTATTTTCACAAGATGGTTCAAAAGCTGAAGAAATGATACAGTTTTTGCACATTTATAAAACTGTTATTTCTTTATAACAGGAGCATGAATCTGAAGGTGGGAGAACCCCACTAATGAAAGCTGCGCGAGCTGGGCATTTGTGCACTGTGCAATTCCTTATTAGCAAAGGTAAAATACTGGTTTAACTAACTGAAATACTTAAAATGTTGCTTTACAATTCTGTGTGTTTGTGATCCTTCAAAATTAATCTGTTTATGTGTATATGAGCATTTGTCAACCTGCTACGGGTTTTTTGAACTTAATTTAGTTCATGATACAATGAATAACAAAATATTTTGCTAGTACCTTTTCTTACTCTGTTGCATTGATTAATAAATAGATTTGAAGTACAGTAAGTTGGTTAGGTTGGATGTAAGGAAGAAATTCTTCACAGAGAGGGTGGTGAGGCACTGGAACAGGTTGCCCAGAGAAGCTGTGGATGTCCCATCCCTGGATGTCTTCAAGGCCAGGCTGGATGATGCTTTGAGCAACCTGGTCTAGTGGAAGGTGTCCTTGCCCATGGCAGAGGGGGGGAACTAGATGATCTTTAAGGTCCCTTCCAACCCAAACCATACTATGAAATATTTCAGTTTCTTAAAAAGCATTCCCTCCTTCAGAAAAAACACAACCTCAAGTACTGTCTGGAACAGTAATAATTGCACCATGCAGTGATGCTGATAAAAGCGTAGAATGAAAATTTACCAGTTGTGCTTTGTACCCCATAAGTGTTCCCTCTTTCTCACCAGCTATGGAGCCCACTGTTACTACTGCCTTGGCTTTACATGATGGGGAGGATGATGTTTAGAAGCCATCAGTTACTCAAAATCCCTTGCTTTTACCCTAGAAGTGTGTATGAAAATGAGAATTAGGAAGATTAGAAAAGTTTATCCCTATTCCAGAAAGTACTTTCGATATACTTGTATATCGAAAGTATACTTGTCGATACTTTCTTCTGAAAAGAATTTCCTTGTGATTAATTTGAGATGTGTCTCTACAGGTGCCAACGTTAACAGGGCTACAGCTAACAATGACCACACTGTGGTGTCACTGGCCTGTGCTGGGGGCCACCTGGCAGTTGTTGAGCTCCTTCTGGCGCATGGGGCAGATCCTACTCATCGGCTCAAGGTATTCACTTCCAACTGTGCAGTTGGGTATCCCTGCCCATGGCAGGGGGGTTGGAACTAGATGATCTTTAAGGCCCCTCCCAACCCAAACCATTCTGTGATTATCATAGGTACTGAAAGAACCACGTAGTTATTTTAATAGATTAGTAAATGTGCAATTTTAAATGGTCTAATTTATATCTTGCGTGCTATACCAGGTGTCAAAATTCATCTTCTGGTTTTTTATTTCCAAAATATCACTTCAGGATGGCTCAACAATGCTCATTGAAGCTGCCAAAGGTGGACATACAAATGTTGTTTCTTACTTGCTGGATTACCCAAACAATGTTTTGTCGGTTCCTGCAGCAGACTTGTCTCAGCTCACACCTCCATCTCAGGATCAGTCTCAGGTAAGGCATAAGGCTTTTCATTTTTCTTTTAAATATCACCGTGACCGTTGCAAAGAAGCACTTACTTAGCAGTTGACTTCTGAAGTTAATTTAAATGTAAACTTACATAGTGAGAAAAATTAAAAATATCTACGTGTTTGACAGTGGTAGAATGAGAAAGTTGATTGGCAGTGTCCTGAAGAGTGCCTGAAATTTGTTCCCTTTCCTGCTTCTTACATGGGGTAGTCCCAAAACTAGTAATTCAAAATAATATTATGTTCTTGGTTGTTTCCTTAGTATTTTGTTTCAGCAGTTCTAAATCTTCGTGACAGCACCCCTCAGATGTTCTTGCTGAATTTGGTTGTTAGATGCAAGAAAATATATTGTGTAAATTTAGAATTCTGGCAACTGGAGAGGTAGCTTTCCAGTGGAGTTACTTGATTAAAGGACTAAAGATGTTAACAGGTTTCTAGCTTACACAGCTCAGGATTTTGTGAAGACTAACATTAATTTTGACATATTATCCACAATAAAATATCATCAGACAGGTCGTATCAAGAGGTAGGTAGCATAACATACATAGTTCAGGAAGAGTGGAATGGAGGGTCTGCTGTAGATGTATCTTTGTATTAACACTTCAAGAGCTGGTCCATTCAAAAGGCTTTTTTATCTGAGTGTGTGTCTGTGGGTTTGTTTTAAGGTCCCACGTGTACCAGTGCATACGCTTGCTATGGTTGTACCTCCCCAGGAACCTGACAGAACCCTTCAAGAGAACTCGCCACCTCTCTTGGGAGTGGTGAAAGGTTAGTATGTAGCCATTCCGAGAACATATGCCATTTGGAAACTGGTAGGCTGGGGGCAACTTTATCAGAGCTTATGCATAGTATAGGTCACTCCATCAGTTTTTGAACACCTCTAATGAAGTGTAACTTAAAAGTATTTTATGTAGTGTGTAGTTTTGCTTATTTTCCTGTATTCTACAGTATAGTAACACCGGTTATTCTAATTTTATTATGCTTATTCTAATTTATTAAAATTATGCTTATTCTAATTTTTGAAGAAAGTGACAGTGTTAAGTGCCATAATGCAGACTGATAAACACTAATAAACTCTAGGTGTGGTGTTAACTTTCGGATGTCATACATTGGTTGTCTAGAATAGTTGCAACTATCGTCCATGAACTTGATATATCAACTTTTCTCTGCTCCTACAGTAGGAATGCAAACTGTAAAAAGCCAGTGCAGATCTACTTACAGGAGGATTTTTCTTGCATAGATAATAGTACTTTTTGTAAGAAATCATAACATGAGCATTTTTGCTTTGAACGTGGTTGAACTGTCTGGTTGAAACTGTTGGCAGGCATTAAACACAAATGTAGCAGTTTGTTTCCAGCTATAGATTCTGTAACAAGTTCTTCATGTCAGCTCAGAAAGAGAAGCAGATTCAAGTGGAAACTTACAAACTGCTGCTCCTAATGATTTACAGTTTTGGATGGGGTTATTAAATATTATAGTATCCAAAGCTCTACTAGCCTTACTTAATTCCTTTAGTCTAGAAATGCTCAGTGATTCCTAAAACAAACGAACAAAAAACCCAGGGGCACAAGTGAAGACAGAAAAAAATTGTGTACCTCATGGTGCTGAAGTGTGCAGCTGTGACACTCTCCATGCATGATGCCACGTGTGTGACTTCTCAAATGCAGTTACTGTATCATTCTCCTAGGTCATGCACCACTTGATATTTTGGTGTTCATAACCAAGTACAAGACAAATTGCAACTTTCGGTTCAAATAAAACTGCAAGAATCTACACTCCAGGATGTGTGTGCCCTTACAGTTAAATAACTAATAATATTGCAAAGTGGGTTAGAGTTCTGGAAGTACATTATGATGTGTGGGAATCAGTAAGACTAAGTCAGTTGAGACTAAGTCAGAGGATTAAAGTTATAAGCTGAAAGTCTAATGTTATTTGATCAAATTATGAAAAGCATATACTTGACTGTAGTTTAAGAAATAGCTCTCATTAAAAAAAAGCCTTCTTGCAAATGCCTGCACATACTTCAGGCATGTTTTCAGCAGTACTGCAAGTGGTGTTAGAACTAGCCCAGAGATCTAGTTGTTCTCAGTGTTCAACATGCTTCATGCATGTCAGTGAAACTAATCTGGGTTGCGTTGCAAGAGGTGTAGCAGTCCAAAATGTGTCATTGTGCTGATGAAGCGTTCCTGAAAACTTTGTGTGTAAAGCTCTTGTGTCTCAGATCTTTAGGCGGAAAATGGTATTTTTGAGATAAACACTGTGTGATCATTGTAGTGATACAACTGCTACTTCGGCTGTGATAGTTAGGGTTCTTCGCTGAACTAATATTTGTAACTTGTTATACACACATGGCTTTAATATACCCAGCTTGAATCGTTACAAGTCTTGGGAGACAAGGGGCAAAAGAGGGTGTGAATAAAGGCATGCTCGTTATTTCTTGGGCAGGGGGTGGGGAGCAGTCTTAAGTTGTTATGTAACAAAATCACTTATTCTGGGGAAGACAGATTTCTTGCCTTCACAGTTAGAAGCAGCCCCCTGAGTTTTTGTATGAATGCTTAACTACTGGGAGAAAGGAGAAGAGTACTTGGCCTTCCTAACCTCAATGCAGTCTGGTTTTTAAGGACCTGTATTAGTTTTGCAAGACATAGAGTAGTAACAACTTGATTCCTGAGGAGGTCTTGACAGGTTGAGTGTAAAACTAGAATACCCTTGTATATTGTTGTTACGGTTCAAATACGGTGTGGGGTTTTTCAAGAGGAATTCAGAGATTAATCCTGAATTACATTATTATTCTTCAATAAAGTAAGGAGGTGTATGGAATAGTTTCCGTTTCAATAATTATTTTGACAAAGGATTTAATATCAATGTTTAGGAACTGAAAATAGAAACATTTCAGTGCTGACAGTGAATTTAGACTGATAAAGGTGATACACAAAGATGGTAGCCTCCAGAAGAACTGAAGAACAGGTTGAAAGAAGAAGCAGAATTAGCTTACGAGACTGAACAGATCTCAACTGTTATGTGTTTAGATAGGTTTGGTTTTCATAAACTATGTTTAGCATGTGTCTGTTGTGTCCATGTAAAAGTGAAATCCCAGTGAAGTTCAGCTCTTTGTGCGCTTGTGGGGAGAGGCACAAGATCTTTTTTTTGGTGTTTTGTACTTGCTGTTGCCCTCGCTTGAATGTGGTCAGGATTGCCCAGCAACCAGCAGCAGTTGTGATGCAGTGGCTCAACTTGGAGTCTTTTGGCTAGAAGGTACAAACGTGCTATTTCTGCAGGACTGGGGGGGTCTGCCTTGCTTTACACTGTGAGGGGTGTAAAACACAGTGGCTGTGATGCAGCTCCAAGTGGGCCTGCGTCTGATTCCCTGGGACGAGGGGGTCTCTGCCCAGCAAACAAACTGGTCAGAAGGAATGCTGTTGGATTTCTTCAGGAAAACAGCTGGTGTCATAGTGTTGCTGTTGATAATACTTTGTATGATTACCAGTTGGCAAGCTGATGTTTTATAATAGTTGGTTCTGAAGCTCCCAGTGGTGTCTGTGGTTCTGCCTTAGCCTTTTACAGAGAGTGCCTGGCGAGCGCAGTGGCTTGAACCCAGGACACGTTTTTAGAACATGATTAAATAAGAAGCAACATGAGGGTGAAACAAGGGAATGCTCAGGAGCTCTGTGGGAAAGCAGCAGGATTGTTTTTCTTAGTAAAAATATTTTTACTATGTAAGGTGTTTTTAAACACGTCAAAATCTGAAGTAGTTTGTTTTTGGAGACTGAGATATCACTTATTTTGTAAGTTTTTCTCCAGATTTGTTTTACTGCTAATCTGAAATTGTGCTTACACATTAACTAATTGGCCTTAACTGAGTGCTTAAAACCTATCAACATGCTGTCATTAGACTTGTCCACTGTTGTTTTTAAGTTGGCAGTAACTTGCAGCATTTCTCATTTGGGTTGCATGTTTTTTTTAGAATTTCACATGATAGACTTAAGTTATTCACATGAAAGCTCCCCACATCTGCCTTCGGTCCCTAGGAAGGAGACCATAGTTCCCTTCAAGTTGAGTAGGATTTTTGGAATCTGTAAGCTTTTAAAGCTTAGGCCTTCAATATACAGTATCCCCTGTATCCCCATGCTAAATCTAACAGGCTAATGGCTTGGAGAAATGAAAGAAAAACAAACTCCATTTAGTTCAATAGCTACAGATTCAATAAATATTTTTTACTCCACTATCTGACTCATGCCTAATACTGAGATCTCGTACACTGTGTGATTTAATTGAAACAGAGCCAGGTTAACAGTAGAACTAATAAGATCATATTGTTTTCATTAAGGTGAAGGCAGTAAAAAAGCAAGCAAGTTTATATTCTTGCTTTTCCATTCTGACTGCTTTCAGACTTTCCAACTGCACAGTCTAGCTGCCTGTTTATTGTTTTCTGTGCTTCCAAATTCTTCTGATTAACTCTTAGCATTTCCTCTCTATTTTCTGACAGCTGACCCAGTTATCTGGGGTGAGTTACCAAGTGAAATACCTTGTGGCTTTTTGCTTCACTAATACTTTCTTAGTAGACTTAGACTTGTTATTCTTTTATGCAAATCTGCAAAGTAGTGCAGGCAGATGATTTAAAAACAAGACAAGCATAAAAAATATTTTCACAATGGTTGGTGAAATGCTGGTCCTTTTGATGCTCTAGTCACCTCCTTGCCACCAGCTAATCACATCGTAGCAATTTTCCAGTCAGATACCATCAAGCCACCAGAGGAAACTGCGAAGAAGACTAAGACTGGAAAGTAACTCAAATTCTTGATTGTCAGAAAATTGGGTGAAGTTTGGCTTGGTTTCAGCCATGTAACCATTGCCTGTTGGATGTCAGTACACCTATTCCCTGCAACTTTTCCATAGAAACAGCTGCAGGAGTGATAAAGATTGGTAAAAATGCGGCATGGTTCACAGGAGGAATGTAGCAAAAATAAAAACTCCTCTCATCATTCAGCCTTCCACAAATAGTCCTGTTCTTTGCAAACAAGAATTGTATTGAAAAACAATGTAGCAGATGAATTTACTTATAGTAGACTATATTTTTTTACCCAGTTAGCTACATTATGTAATATTGCATCTGTTTGTATATGAATTGATTGTTTCCCGTGTTCTTAGAGCTGAATTTCTTACTGATATGGATTACAGTTGAAGACAGAATTTCCATGAGAATTCAATATTGAGCTCATCTTATTCCTGTTCATGAGGCTGGTGAATTTTAATTGCAGACTGCAAAGCTAACTCTTGACTTGTGAATGAAAACAGATTTGTAAAAAACCCTGAAGTGCAAGAACAGTGGACAAGCAATTTTGTTAACAAAGCACAAAGATCTTAAGATTTGTGCTTCCTGACATCTGCCTTTTATGAAGTGAGGAACAAGCTGAATCTGGTTTTTTGTTTGTTTTGGGGTTTTTTTTTGAAGTTCTAGGTAATATTACCTATCAAAATGACATAGTGATTCATACAGATTTATATACTGGGTATTGCATCCATCAGAGAAGATGTTTTTGATTGTACAGATGTATATCACACAGATGACTTTTTCTTGCTGTCTTCCCTCCCCCCTTTTTTCCCCCCCCCCCCCCCCCCGGAAAAACCTTTTGGAATTGAACTGTTTAGATTTGGTTCCATTGTGTTTTGGTTTTTTGGGGTGGGGTGGCCGTGTTTTTTGGTGTGTGTGGTTTTGTTTGGTTTTGTTGGGGTTTTTTTTCCCATTTAACAACTCTAGAAATTGAGGAGCTGTCAAGAAGTCCCATAATTTCATCTAGTAAGTGCAACTATTTCAGGTGGTGACCAGGATGAAAAACCCTAAACTGAAATGCCAGTTGTGTTGACAGGAACTACCTGCAGAGTATAATGGAATGTGAAAACAAACCTTTGATCTTACTAATTTTCTGAGAAGACCTTAAAAATAAAGGAGTGATTTTTTTTTTCCCCTTAAACTTTTGTTGTATTTTAGAACAAGAAACAAAAGTCCATCCTTTCTAACGCATCAGTTGGTGCTTTTAGGGTAAGATCTAGGGCTTTGTTTATGTAAGAAAATTACTTAGCTACTTCATGTTTCTTAAATGCACGCTTCTTTCACTGAGGCATTTACTTGAGTCCTCACACTTGCAGAGGACAGCGCGAGTACTTGCCTGAGCTACTACTGTAGAGTACGAGGCAGTCGTTTGGATGTTAGCAAATTAGTACGAGGATGTCATTTTAAATGTTAGATGTAGATGCCCCATCCCTGGATGTCTTCAAGGCCAGGCTTGATGTGGCTTTGAGCAACCTGGTCTAGTGGAAGGTGTCCCTGCCCATGGCAGGGGGTTGGAACTAGATGATCTTTAAGGTCCCTTCCAACCCTAACCATTCTATGATTCTGTGATTCTATGTACCTACATTTGGAAGTAGGTCGATGTAACAGCAATGTCATTGGGATCAATAAGGCAGTTTTAGGTAGGTTTATTTTGACCATTAGCATCTCACCTGTCCTGCTTCTATTTGTTGTGAAAGGGCATATAAATTCTTTCTTAGGAGAAGATGACATCCTATGGATTAGAAGTCAGGGCTAGAAGAGCAAGTTCCTCAAGAGTCACAAGCACATAGGATGAAATATACGTATCAGACTTGTTCTCAGGCAGCACCCTTATAAAGAGTGAATGTGTTTTAAGCAAATTTAAATTAGAAGAGTCTAATTGCTTAGGAGAGCCACCTGAGGACTATCCAAATGCTTGCTTACAGTGTTGGGGTCCTTTAAATGTTACTTGCAGCCAGAAGGCATTTAGAACTGATAATGGTGTCCTCCAGTAATGGTGCATGGGGGATGCTCATCTGGGTGAACGGATTCAGGTACTTAAGGGTTTATCTACAGTATACAGGAGATTTCCGTAGAAAACATTTATCTCTCATTTCCTGGAGAGAATAAGAAGTCAGAGAAATGGATGGGAAGCTGTGTATGTGCACAGTAGGTCTTACCCTGAGGTGTGTGTTGGTCAAAACCTGGCTGAAGACATGTGAGTGCACTGCAGGAATGGTGGTGAAGGCTGAGTTGGTCAGGAACCAGAACCTGTGGTCATATAGAAATATAAATGAAAGAGCAACGGGTACTGCTCTTCACAAATTAAATTGGGAAACAGTTGTTTCCTTACTCTGCGACTTTCCTGGCATGCCCATAACCACTCTGGGTTTTCTGTCAACTGAACAACTTTGTCCTGTAATCATTTTACCTGATGGCATGTGGTTTTCGTGTAGCAACATTGCATTTCATTGGTCCTCAGTCTTCATTTCATGCTAAACAAGTCTCCTAAAAGTGGACAAAACTGTTGCTTTAGAGGCTAGATTGACTACTTAACATTGCTAGGTTTAATCTTGTAGTAGGTTGGTTGTGTAGAAGATTAATGCTCCACCAAAGAGATAAATGAATAAAATAAAAAAAAAGTTGAAGTAATTATGATCTGGTCTATGATTAGATTTTTATGTCTTACTGCACTTTACATATTTCAAAAGTGAAAGTGTAAAATAGTGTCTTGTTCATAATTATTTACTAAAATTGGCACAGTATTTTTCAGGATATTGTAATATATAAGAGATTTGGAAAAAACAGGAAACTGCTACTTTTAAATACTTACAATGTTGATATAATTTATTACAGTGCTTACATATTCAAAACTACCAACAGCATCTTCTCCACCTCTGGTTGAACTGGCTGTTCAGTGCATGTCAGTTTAGCAGAACTTTATTCCTACCACTTGTCCTCCATACCCCCAAGATTACATGTTGCAACTATTTTCTGGCATGGAAAGGGAGATATGGACCTGAAAAGTGGCCCTGCTAACTAATTAGAAGCTGATTAAAGTAAATCTCTGCACCTCTTCTAGAACTTGAGAGCCCAGCTCTTCACTTGCTCGTTTTCTAATGTCTGGCTTCAGACACTGTCCCAGCTTTCTGTGCTGAGGTGCTGTGTGGGCAGCGCTACCCACTGCAAGACCAGCCTTGGCTTCTCTACCTGGGCCAAGTCTTCATACAAGGCTGTACTTCTGCTCTTTGCTTTCTCTTGTGCTTGTAGAAGGGTTTTCCTGTGGCAGGCTTCATTTCTCCACAGATGGGACTAAGCTGGGAGGGGCAATATTGGTACTTTATTATTTGAGGGCTCTTTGAACTGCAGCTCTTCTTTCCTGTAGGGCAACAGAAACTGTTCAGAGCTGTTAGGTTGTGGGAACGCTTTGTGTTAGGATGGAAATGATAGATACGGTATCCTTAGGAATGAAATTAAACAGAGCAGTGCCAAGGGTTTCCCATCTTAGTGGTGTCTTAAAGGCAGGGTTAATTTGCAGTCAGGTTGTATAATGTTTCTGCTCCTTGAGCAGTGCAGCAGCTTCATTTCAAGAGACACCAGTTGAATTGCATTTATTTCTAACAAAGATACAGACAAGCATTTCACAGATTTTTTTTTTTTTTTTTAAATGACTGCAATTACATTTTTTAAGAGTGGTCTATAAGACTTAGGATGTAATCACACATTTTAAGATGAAAGGTTGACATATAAACCCTAAGTGCACCACAAAGCCAAGTTACTAGCAGCTACTTGAACTAAATATCCACGAGCCAGCACAAATCAAGTTAGAGCTAAACTTTAGTCAAATTCTCTATTGTCTTCTGAGAAATTTTCTTGGGGCTCATTTAGGGTTCAGAGAGAAAATAATAGTAGTGGTTGTTACTCTGCTGGAACTACTGACCTGTACAAGGCACACATGTAAAGTACTTTGCTTTCTGAAGGGTGTCTACAGTGTTGGTGGGATGCTGGCATATTTCCTGTGACTATTAAGATTTTTGTTGTTTCCCTTAAATTTAAGTATGATCTGCTTTCACTCCAGAGAGTCTGATGAAGGGATTCAGCACAGAGTTGCTTCAATTCTATTTTAATATTTGTTCTTTCTCTTTGTAAGAGAAAATTCTTACATTTGTTTGCTTTTTCAATTAGTTCCTCACAAAAAGTTTCTTTTCAGAATGGGATATGTGACTCCTGTTTTGATAGCAATGTGAAATGAAATCGGCTGTGAATTAGTATTTTGGTGAAGGAAGGTCCAGAGAGAAATAAATTGGTGTTTTAGGAAACATAAGTGACTGATCTGGGACTTAGTTATTGCATCCAGATTTTCACTCAGCTGTGTGATGTTTAAGTTAAGCCATGACTCAAACTGTAGATAACTTAAATTCCCGTTTTAATGATTAGTAGTATGGGTCTGCTTTGTAAATACTCAACATTTTGTTTTGGTGTGTTGTGGTGTGTGTTGTTTTTTTTTTTTTTTAAGCTACATATTTGGGTGTAGCAAAGGGGTATTAGTGCAGAAAATTATTTGATCAGGCTAAAACCTTCTACATTTGTAATTAAAGTTTCTTACACTGAAGTCATAATTAAAATTTCAGCACTTAATAGATTCCTTTTAGCAAGATCTGACTGGAGGTTTCACAGGCATGGCTTTTGGGAAAGCGGCCTTCGGTTGCCTGAAGGCAGGGAGCACTCAGAGAAGCTCTGCCCTGGCTTGATGTTCCTTGCTAGATTTGTGTTGAAGTCCTGATAGTGAGCTGAGTTGTTAATTTGTTGCTGGAGAGAGAGAGGCAAACAGGCTGTTAATTTTGTCTCAGAACTTTTAAGAAGGTGCTAAAGCTTTGAAACATTTTGCATACATTAAGTCTCTGCTGGCAAGATTCTGTTTGTAGTGTAAAGACAGAATGCTGTAATGCTGCAGTGTTTGGAGAAATACTGTTTCAAAATAGTGATCTTACTGCAGAGTTAGTTTTCTCTCAGATATACACTACTTTTGATTGTAGCCTTGATGTTGGAAGTTAGCTTCTGGAAAATAGTCTGTTGAATTGCTCTGCACACCAGGGCAACTTTGGGAACTCAAGTTATGTAAACTGCCTTGCTCTTCTTGCTGATTTCACTTTCCAGACACATTGTCATTTATGCCTGAAACCATAGAGGTTCCTTACTCTGTAAGATTAAAACAGCTGTGTTCAACAGCATATTAGGGTCAGTACTGAAAATTCCAGCTATATGCCTTGTCCTTTCTTGTCTTAACATGGAGCATAGGGGTTACCTTTCTGTGGTTTGACAGATGTGCAGTGTTAGTTGTAAAGATTTTTTTTTTTTTTTTTTTTTTTTAAATTCTTGGTGGGTGAGAGGGGAGGTTTTGGGTTATCTTCAGCATGGCATTTTTTCAAACATTTTTCATGTGCTTAGGTGCATCCAAGCAGAAGTCAAGTTCCCTGCAGGTAGCAGATAAGGACCTACTGCCACCTTTTCACCCATACCAGCCTTTGGAATGCATAGTAGAAGAGACTGAAGGCAAGCTGAATGAACTTGGACAGAGAATTAGTGCTATTGAAAAAGCACAACTTAAATCATTGGAATTAATTCAAGGTGAACCTTTAAATAAAGATAAGATTGAAGAACTTAAAAAGAACAGAGAAGAACAAGTACAGAAGAAGAAGAAAATATTGAAGGAGCTGCAGAAGGTGGAAAGGCAGTTGCAGATGAAAACCCAACAGCAGTTTACCAAAGAATATTTGGAGACCAAAGGTCAGACAGACACTCCACTTCCCCTGCAGCAGCAGTGCCCACTTACAGGGGTCTTCCCAGAAGTGGAAGCCGATAAGGGTCTGCCAGAGGATAACTTTTCAGGGTTACCTCAGGTTGACACAATCTTGTCTAAAGATGACGAGCAACAACAGTCTCCACCACCTGCTGAACAAATAGAGTTTGTCCCTATCCAGCCTTTGCCAGCACCGCAATGTAATTTTTCTGGTAATTTAGGTTATAATGGGACACAGTCTCTTGAACTTCAGAAAGCATTAGGGAATCAGCAGAATGTAGGACAGCAGCAACAAATTGCTGGGCAGGGGCTCTTAGTTCAAGAACCAGACGGATTAATGGTTGCCACTCCAGCACAGACGCTTACCGACACTCTTGATGACCTAATAGCAGGTGGGTTAAGAAATATACCTGTTTTTGCATTAATTTGTGTGCTCAGTTTTCCCTCTCTCTCCTTCCCTCCAAAACATCTTGGGTTTTTCCAGTTTGGGAATACTTGCTTAAGAATAAAGTTCTTGATTAGTGCTATTAATCCTAACAGTGACTTCCAATTCTAACATGAGACTTTTAAATCTTTTTTTCCAAAGTTGAAAACTTCCTGTACTGGAGACCTGTTTTGGTCCTTTTGGCCTCATCTTTTTCTGTGCTTCTTTAAAAAGCCTTGCCATGAGTGATTAGTACTGCCCATTAGGAAACCTGAAGGTGTGACCGTTTTATATCTTCTGTAGCATTTTCTGTACAGGCTTATATCTCAGTGACTTTCTTCAGTGTAGTAGCCATCTCCTGAAAAAGCCAAATTATTGTCACTTGTATGGACAAATGTGTCCCTCTCCTTGCTACTCGAGGCATCGCTATGGTTAAAACACAACGTGGCATTAGCACACAGTCACACAGTCCTCTAATGGCTTGTATTTTCAGAATACACTCTAAATCCTGGTTGTTATACAGGAATGTCTGCTTGTTAGATACAACGTATGGCAAAAATGTGTCCTGTTAGCTTGGATGAAAAGCAAAAATTCAAACATTCTTCCATTTATTGATATCCGTGTGAAGAGGAGTGGAAGTTCCCACACGTGGGCTGTGTGAGTCCCCTTGGGGAAAAAGAGGTATTGTTTTGGTTGACTGTTACATGGATTTGACTAGGATTGATGTTTGCTGGTGGAGGTATGTAGGCTATAGCCAGTTTTTTTTGGTCTGGAGTTTTTTTAATTCACTGCTTTTGAACTTTTCTTTGCACCTTGTGTCTGACCCTCAGCCCTTATTTTCCTGTCATGTCCCATCCCCTCCATCCCTGTCCCCACCCTGTTTTAAAGTTCATTTCAAGGTTACAGAAATGTGTGCTAAGACCTTTTGCCAGCCATTCCTGTGAACTTTTACAATGGTAATTGCATCAAGCTCATGCAAGTGGAGACTACCTGCAACGTTACATCCTCCTACGGAAACCATAGTTGGTGGAATAGTGTTACAGAGCAACAGTCTTAGTTCCTTCTTTTCTGTCATGGCATGCCTCCTTCCTCCATTCTACATTGCTCTTCAGAGTATTGAGCTAACATTATAGGAAAAATGCAAGATTTTTATTACTCAGGATTTAATACTGGAGTGTGTGAGGAGAGAAATTTGAATGCTTAATGCAAAACATAATCAACAAGGTGCTTAATCTGTGGAGTAGTTCCTGTTGTTGACAGTTTAACATATCTAGCACAAGACCATGTAGTACATAAACACCCTTTCATGGTTAGCAGCTGTGTATTAAATCCAAAACATTCAGTGCACCCAAAATGAAAAACTACTGCAGTCAGCTGAGGGAGAGAAATGTGCCATTTGGAAAAAAAAAAAAATTTGCAAACAACTAGAAAAGCTTCAGCTTCAAAATAATTTTTAAAAAAGTCTGGATAGACGTGTTCATTTCTGAAACACTTCACTGTTTTTGCTGAGTAATTAAAGACATTTTTTGCTAAGAAGTTAGTTTTACTGATTTTAAAAATCAATACAAATTGCATGCTTTTCTACAACTATTAGAAGCTATATTTACAGAAATGCAAGTCAAACTTCAGTTGTCCAATTCTAGAGGTTTCTGCAGAAAGATTATGTTGCTTTTCTGAAATATATTTCCTTCTGTAATTAAGTTTGTTTTACTTCCCTCTCCCTCCAAATATTGTTGGAAGAGAATTAGATATTTTTTTCACTTTTTAAATCGCTGTCTGAAAGTGACCCCTGTGTAAATTACAGTCCTAGTATGTCTCAAATTTATGTCCATTTAAAAACAAACTGTAAATCTACCAGGTCATACTCCCAAACTCTTTGATCCATATTTAAAATGCACTTCACCTTTTTCCACAAACTTGCTCATTAAGGACTCTTAATTTTGTAAAGACGTTTTGAGCAATAGAAACTGTTGCTAGACCTGGTTTTTACATGTGTGCTACAGATGCCAGATAAGATTAAGGGGCTTGTGCCTGGTGCATGGGAAGTCTGTCTCTTAGAGATGTTGTCTCCCGCAATCAGGTGTGCCGAAGTCTCCCTTGATCAACGTAACACTGGTGGAGCTGCAGTAGTGGGGGTGAGTGACTCTCTAAAGAGTCATACCTCATATAGAAGAGGTATGTCCTGCTGGGTATTCCAGTTTGTATTGGGTCTGCTTAACAGAAGTGTTAAATTGGCCTGTTGCACTCTGCACTGAAATACCCTTTTCTGTTGCTCTAAGCCTGAGTTGAAACTAGTTGTAAGGGAGAACTTGCATTTCTGCAAAGCTGCAAATCTTTATTTTGCTAACTTAATTGTGACAGCATACATAAATTGAGTATTTATCTTGCCAGCCTGCTGGCATAATCCATCAGCTGCTAGGTGTTGAGAGGGTTGATGCCAAGGTGTGAAGTGCTGGAAGTCTTGCTGTCAGTCAGTCACTGGTAAGTGTGTACCTGAGTCCCCCCTTTCATAAGGCTATGCAGAAATAGCCGAGTAACCTTTGCAGAGTCAGATAAAACCTAAAAATGAAGCAGCTCTTTCCACTCCAGAATGTTTTGGTTGTAATGGAGTTTATTTAGATGCACTGAAGCAACTAATCTTGTCTTTGAAGTTGTGACATATTAAAGTCAAAATTTTAATTGGTTTTCAAAAGAGAGAGAGATGTGCAGTTTACACTGGGAAGCAATAAATTATTTTGGATTGCATCTTCCAATAGAGGAGAACATTTTGAATCTAATTTTCATTACTCAGTACACATTTGGTTTCATGAAGCATCTAGTCTTGCATTTCAGTTCGCATGCATTTACTGTAATAGATTTCTTACATGGTAGTATCTCAGTTGAGGCTTTCTTGCTGTTTTAGGGTATGCAAGTTGAGGAACTTTACTTTTTGCTAGGTTTTGTCTCTACTTGGAATATTTTTATTCCTGTTTGTTCTACTCAGCTGCCTGCTGAGTAGAGGTGGCATCTCTGTGTTCTTCTGTCTGACTTTCCTCTTGCGAGCTCCCATTTGTATACTGAAATTCCAGGATGTTTTGAGAAACTTTAACTGTTACTTGCTTTGGAAGTTCTGGTTGTTGTTGGTTATACAGAATTATGATATTTTAAGGTAATGTTTTGGAAGGTGACATCTGAGGCACTGTATTTAGGATTGCTGTTTGGAGCAAAACTGGTTACTAGGATAATCTGGAGTGAGAAATGGTGACTCATAAAATGAAATAGTTACCAGGGTGCAAAAGCCTCTGTGCAGTGACACTACTGAGGAGCTGCGTGGACAGACTGAAAGACTGCTTGGTCATGAAAAGAGATTGTTCGCTTTGTCCAGAAAATCCCAGTTCCTGTGAGGAAAGAGGAACTGAAATCCAAGTCCAGTATTCATGAGTGTCCATGCTTACGGCCTAACAACCGTTAGGCAGATGCAGTTTCAGACTACAGCGGCAGTCTCGTAGAGAGCTGTTTCCTCAGGGTTCTGCCAGTGTGTTGTGAGTTGAACACAACTGTGTCAGAGTTGTGTTCAGAGAAAGTATTAAATTCTTGCTTCCTTTTGTTTGACTCGTGTCCTGTGACATTTTTTTCATAATTTTGGTACACAGTCGTCCCTGTCTTTGGAGACCTGTCTTCAACTTCACACTGACACAAAGAAAGTCCCTCTGGAAGGTTGCAAGTCCTTCTTAAAATGTGGGGAACCTGTATTTTGTGATGTGTGTGGGTTTTTTTCTTTTTCATGTTTAATCAAAGCCTTTGAATGTTGAAATCTGTGAAACCATCCCAAACCTATGTCACAAAATAGGTATTTCATAAAGATTTGAGGTACACATTGTAAACATTTTTTTAATCAGTGCCTGGCTATCGGTGTGTTTATTGTTTGAAAAGACAAAACACCTGTTCAATGGAAAGCAACCTGCATGCTGGAAAGTTTTGCCCTTGTCTTCTCAGAGGGTGAAAGCTGCACGTTTTTCTAGTCTGTTAAAATCCTGCGGTGCAGTGTAGGTGGTGAAGATGATCATCCCTCAGGCTTAGTTTTGTGCCCTCCAGCTTGCCTTTCCCCTTGAAGTCACGAGCAGTGGCCAGTGCTGCTCTCCACTGCCAAGCTGCGGTGCCACAGTCCTTCCTGTGTTAATGCCAATTATTGAGATGAAATTCTGGAGTGCTGTGGTGGTGTAGCTCCTAGGTGAGACTGCACATTAACTTCTGGAACTGAGTATGACCTGCAAAACACTAGTGACCAGCAAGGTGTCCTGGGGCCAGCGTCAGACTGGTGAAGCCGTCCTGGAGAGCACAGCCAGGCTCCTCCTGGTAGCAGGAGGCAGAAGCAGGGAGGTGGCTCTTCTATTGTGACCCATCTGTAGGATGATCTGAATGGGGTTCGTGAGAGTTGGAACAGCTGCTACTCCTTTGACAGAGATGGATAATGCAGGAACAGACTTGGGGAAGTATGAGTTAATGCCAATTTTGAACAAATGTATGTAAAGGGATGTTGGAACCATTGTTACAAGGTCATTTTTGAGTTAAAATGTTCTGTAACTTAGGCTGAGCTAAATCAGCCTCATGAAACAAGAGGCAGAAGTTCAGATGTGTATTGCTCCACAGTGAACAAGTTGTATTGATGCTCCATTCGGCCAGCTTGCCAGCCACATGAAGGAAATAATAGAAAAATGATGCTTCTAAAAATCCTGCAGTTCTGTAAACTCAGTAGTTACAGAGAGGATGATTAATCGGTGGGTGTTGTAGGACTATTTCTTCTTAGGTCTTATTTTAAACAAGACTTTGGGGTATCAGTACAGGGTTTATCTGCATTTCTACTGCCTTTGGTGTTCTCTTGCACGTTTGATGTTGTTACTGTGCGCATGAAGTACTTAGTGCACGCGTTTCAAGCACATGATAAAAATCTGAAGTATGCAAGAAATACTCGGACATTTTCAGACATGGTTGTGAAATGTAGAGAATTTGTGGAACCTGGAACAGCAACACTGGATATATTACATTAAGGACACTTAAACTAATGCAAGTGGAGTCCCTCTGCGCACCTCTGCTTTGTATGCACAACACATGCATGTGTGTTTAGATGTATCTGTAGTTGCAAGATCTGAAAGCCTTGAGCCAATGTCTTTCATGAGGAGCACCAATTTGATTTAATGTAAGTGCTTAACAGGGTGACTTGGTGTCTTGTGTTTTGGAAGGAATAATCTTTAGAAACCCAATTAGTATCTTGCACTTCAGTGCGTTGGGCAAAGGAAACAGTTGAATTGTATTGCGTTAATGGTCATCTGCTGCTATAAGTGGTAATCCATACTAAGCAGATGAAGTGGGAGCTTTTATATTTGAAACTTTTAATACAAACCTGGTTTGCTCATGAAGGTTGTAATGTGACATGAACAACTCTGAATTCAGACACAATACTTTGTTGCTTAAATGAGGTAGCCGAATATTAATGCAGGGATTTACCTGTGTGCCAAGGGTATGCTTTATGTAAAATATAATTGAAAACTGTCACTTCCCAAAAATTTCAGTGACAGCCTACACCACCACCACCATGTTTCCAGAACCCAACTGAAGTGACCCAACTGTGTTACATTTGTCGTGCATATGCAGTCCTATAGGCTGAATTTGTCAATGGAATCAGGAAGGTTGAGCTGGGAAAGGTTTGAGTTCATCCTTCATCTTGCCTAATTGCTTGAAATATGTGGACAAAAGCAAAGTGCTGTTGCTTATATCATACCTGCAGTGTTAGTGTTTTCTATCACTTGGTTATTCCAGGAATATTATAAATTACTGGGTGTTTTAGAATAATTAAAGCTAACCAGGTATTTCATCTAATGAGGCTGCACAGTGTAGAAATTTGACAATCCAGCACTGACAATACTTGTCGAACCCAGCTGCTGTAGTAGCATGGTTTACTGTAGTTAAAGTACACTCCTAGCTAGTGTGTAGGTTTGTGAGACCTTCTGCCAAGTAATCCCAGCTGAGCCTTAGATCTGTTTGGGCTCCCCTTGGACTCTCATTTGGTTACCAAGGCAGGCAATGATCTTGGCCCCATGATAAATATGTGCAGGGATATTTCTCTGCTTGTTCTGGTAAGGATTCATTTAATTGAATAAAATCTGGTTCTCAACTATCTTTAATTTTTTTGAAATAACAATTAAAAAGAAAAGTTGCATTCCTTGTGTCCTTGAGCTGCGCTGGATCTTCAGGATGAAATCATTTACAAGCTGTGGATCAATCAGAACAGATTTTAGGAAGGACAGACAGTTTTGAGTTTTCTTATTTTTTGACTGCCCACTCCTGTCTGCTTCTCTTCTGCCCTTCCTGTTTTACCTCTGAGACATGATTAATGGTGTAAGTTGCTGTCGGTCATCTTGCTTTGAAAACCTTCTCTGGAGACTAGGTGTCCACTAACCTTTGTGTGAAAAAAGTATGAATTCCAAAATGAGGCTGTATGTCTTAATATTAAGTTTGTGGTTTAGTGATAAATCACTTGCCTGCTTAGACTGAGCATGTGATTGAACTCTAACAATGAAGGTTACAATTAGAAAAGGATATCTAATAATCTTCATAATTCGTACTTGTAATGCCTACCCACTAATCAATAAAACTATTTTCTAACTTAATGCAGTTTGGAGACGATACTTACACTGTTTAACTGCCGGAAAGCTTCTCTGCGCAGATCACCAACTCGTTCGTTTTTAGGAACACTTAATTTGTTTCCCACCCATTACTGTGTTGATACTGCAGTTTTACGGGACTAAATATTTTTCATATAAAATGTGACATTGCTAAGAGTGGGTTAATAACATGGTGTTACTTTTCAGCTGTGAACAGCAGAGTGCCCAGTGGCTCCACCAGTTCTTCGCACACTACCGAATCCCCTACGCCTGAGCCTTGTTCGCAGGCATCCAGCAATGTGCCCTCACAGTCGGTGCTCCCTATGTATCCTTCAGTTGACATCGATGCACATGTGAGTAACTGTGATTGGTTTTGAGTGGATTTGCTTTCTGATAAGGTCTAGAAGGAAAATAATTAATCTAGAACTGTCTTTAAAATGTTAAAATTCTCTTCAAGTATTTTTCATTTCTGCATATCTGCTTCTTTTTGTTCCCAACCATGAAGACTGAAAGTAATCATGACACTGCTCTGACCCTTGCATGTGCGGGAGGTCATGAAGAACTTGTATCTGTACTGATAGCACGTGGTGCCAATATTGAACACAGAGACAAGAAGGGTAAGCTAAACCAGTAAAACAGTTTGACCATGAACTGCAACTTGAAACAGCAAATTTCAAATTGGGACTTGAGATTCTTTGCTTCAGAAAATTACCAAAGCTTGAAAAATGTAGAATTGCATTCTTGCACTTCATATAGAAATACAGGGCATAGAAAGCCAGTGACATTGCATGCCTTTTTGTCTGTTTTGAAAAGGAAGTGGTATCTTAAGCAGTTTTACAAAATGTGAAACACATTTGTCCTTAAAATTAGTTCTCTACAGAAGACCTTAACTTTCTAGGTAGAGTGGCTACTCTGCCACTCTACCTATTTATTGGTATTGGGGGTAAATATCTATTTATTGGGGGTAAATATCAAATTTGGGCCGACAGAGCTAATGGGGAGTAGTGGTCAGGTTCTGTATCATGTTGCTCCCCACAACAGAATTCAGCAAAATCTCAAGTATCTTAGAGCTGAGAGAACAAAACCGCCATGCCTCTCTCCTTGGAACTCACATTGACCACTGGAAATAAGCAACGTGTGTTCACTTGTTGGAGCTTTATTAAATAGGAACTAGGTGAAAAGCCATGACTTTTCTAAGGAGACAAGTTGGTTGGAACTTAATCCAAACTGATCAGTGCAAGTACTGTTTAGATTTCTTTGGAAGAGCCTTAAATTATATTTGGCTGGAATCAGAGCCTAGATGTGTCAGGATCAAGAGAGGTCTAGGAAAGTAGATGAGATTGTAACCTATACCAGTAAACCCTTGGTCTGAGGAAGATGTGTCTGATCAATAGAAGTCATTGTAAATTAGCCCTTTTATGCATTTTTGCTCCTTAATACTTTGAGATTCTCAAGGTTGCTTTTAACATGATCTCTTATTACTAGGTTTTACACCTTTGATTCTGGCTGCAACTGCTGGGCATGTTGGTGTAGTGGAAATTCTTCTAGACAAAGGTGGGGATATAGAAGCACAGTCCGAGCGCACAAAGGATACTCCGCTTTCATTGGCATGCTCTGGTGGGCGTCAAGAGGTACAGACACATTTGTTCTCAATCGATTTGAACTGGTTTTGTAGGTTGTTTTTCGTTCAGGTTTTTGTTGTTGACTTAATAAATCATCTTTTTTCTGAATTGATTTTTAACCTGAACAAGTGTAGCTAACATGTCTTTTTCTTCGTCCAGGAGGAGAGGAAATGGATTCTTTTCTCCCTTGGTTATCCCAGTTTTGTTAGCTAACCATTGTTTTGGCTTGTGGTCATTCTTCTGTTGATGTGTCCATGCAAGATACTTTTGTGAGGGAAGTAGAGATGTTTAATTAGTCAGCTTATCACTGAGCACTCCCCTTATGCATCCTCCCTGCTTTCAAAACTAAAACAGCTGGTGCAAACGTAAAAACTGGAATTTTGTATTGGCAGTAGATGGTTTTAGTGGTACTGTGCAGGACTGATAAGTGCAGATGCAATGCAGAGCGCGTTGCACTAGCCTTTTAAGGATGCTTCAGTTTTTTCTCAGCTTTGTTGGTTTTGTCCACATAAGATTTGTTAAATTCTTCCTACTTTAGCCATGGGCATGCTAGCTTAGAAGATGGCAAAGAACTCTGTGCCAGGTATGGATGTGGTAAGTTTTGGTACTTTTAAGGATTAAAACAGTTGGCCAGAATTGGAAAGTTTCTACTTCGACTTTTGGATTGCAGATCTTTGACAGTAAAAGTGCTGCTTGTAAATAGAACAAGATATCAGTGTGGCCTGTGATAGATAGCATTATTTATTGAACTACTTTTTCTTTAGTTCTTCATATTCCCGCCGCTCCCTGTCCCGCCTTATGCCGGAATCTACCTCTCATGTTTCTGGCTTAGCAGTTTGAGGCCGCCTTTTTTGGCCTATGTGAAAATCACCTAGCCTATGTTAGTAGTAAAATGAGACCCACTAAAGTGTGGTACATTACCAAAAATGTTTTAATTTTTCCCTCTTTTATTTCCTTTATGCAGCTTCTGATAGAGAAAGTCCTTCCACATGCTTGTTCCATTAACATCAGTTGGTCTGATTTGCACCATGTGTTTTGTTGGAAAGACCATGTGATACAGATGGTCAAACTTGGCTCAAGTGTCAAATTTGAGTTAGTTGTGGGAGTTTTTAAAAGAGATGCTCAGTGTGAGATGTTATGGGAACGGGTTAGATACGTTGTTTGCAAGCTTAAGATTCACAGGAAGAGTGTCACTTTAAAGCATTCTTGATTAGATAAAATAGTCTTTCTGGAAGACACTTCTACAACCCATGCAGATTAGCTGATGTAATCAGTTGCTAAGTCTGTACAACGCTTATGTAAGAGTAAAGCAAAAGAGGATAGAAGTTTTCCTCTAGAATCTTATCTATTGACAATGGAAGCTGGTAGCTTATGGAAGGTTAGAACATGTGATAACGTCCTTTCATTTCTGGATAATAGTGAAGGGCACAATATGTCTTTTAACATGCATTGCTGTCTCTTCAGGTTGTTGATTTGCTGTTGGCCCGGGGAGCAAATAAAGAACATAGGAATGTTTCTGATTATACACCTTTAAGCCTTGCTGCATCTGGTGGCTATGTTAATATCATCAAGATTCTTCTCAATGCTGGGGCAGAAATTAATTCAAGGTAATGTACTGTGTACACTAGAGGAACTGCAGTATGGCACAGACACTCCATTGTTGGCTACATACTGAGGCATAGGTTGGAATCTCTAGTGCTTTCATACCTCCTTTCAGCCTTATTACGCTGGGGTTATCCTTCATGTTATCTTAGTGCTTTTAAATTGCCTTTAACTGTCACAAAGTTCATCTCCCTTATACCTGAATTTTAAGAGATTATTATAGTTTGCAGATTTATTCCTTACAGAATCATAGAATGGTTTGGGTTGGAAGGGACCTTGAAAGGTCATCTAGTTCCAGCCCCCCTGCCATGCGTAGGGACACCTTCCCTAGACCACTAGACCAGGTTGCTCAGAACCCCATCCAGCCTGACCTTGAATGTTTCCAAGGATGGGGCTTTTACCATCTCTCTGGACAACCTGCGCCAGTGTTTCACCACCTTCACTGTAAAACATACTTCTTCCTAATATCCAGTCTAAATCTCCCCTCTTTTAGCTTAAAACCATTACCCCTTGTCCTGTTGCTACAGGGCTTATTAAAAAATTTGCCCCCATCATTCTTACAGGCTCCCTTTAAGTACTGAAAGGCTGCTATAAGGTCTCCCTGGACCCTTCCCTTCTCCAGGCTGAACAAGTCCAATTCTCTCAGCCTGTCCCCATAGCAGAGGTTCTCCAGCCATCTGAGCATCTTTGTGTCCTCCTCTGGACCCGTTCCAGGTCCATGTCTTTCTTGTACCGAGGGCTCCACAGTTGGTTGCAGAACTGCAAGTGGGGTCTCACCAGAGCAGAGTACAGGGGCAGAATCCCTTCCCTCGACCTGCTGGCCACACTTCTCCTGATACAGCCCAGGTTACAGTTGGCTTTCTGGTCTGCCAGCGCACATGGCCGGCTCATGTTCAGCTTTTCATCCACCAGTACCCCCAAGTCCTTCTCCTCAGGGCTGCGCCCAATGCCTTCATCTCCCCGCTTGTATTGATCCCAGGGATTGCCCCGACCCAGGTGCAGGATCTTGCACTTGGCCTTGTTGAACCTCATGAGGTTCATACAGGCCCACTTCTCAAGCTTTCCCTTGCCTTTCCCTTTTCCACCATTCTGGGATCTAGAAGTCAAACTATTTCCAATAGAACCAGGTAAAGAAATGAGCCAAAGCACTCAGGTCAGCTCTGTGTGTTTGTTGGAAGATGTCTTTTTTTTTTTAGTAAGAGGGACCAATTTACACGGCTATGTCTCTTAAGCCTGGTTTTTATTAATTTTAAGAAAACTTACAGGTATTTTATTACTAGGGAAAATTAAAACTGCTGCTGTGCTAGCAGCACATTTTTTCTCACAATCAGATGCAGCCTTGATTTTTAATATATATAGCTTTAGGCTTATGTGTGCTTCATCCATCTGAACATCCAAAAGCTGAAATGTATTTTCCTAGTTTATAAATTGCAGTTGTCTGTTGCATGTAGTTTCTATGATGGTTTCTCCTAATTAATTAAAAAATGCTAGTATTTTAGGTCAGTGTCTGTATTTGTATATCTTGTATGTTACTTTTGAGCTTACAACAAAACATTTTGTTCGTCTTGCATACATTTATCCTCCAGTTCTGGGGACTGCAGCTTGTTTCTTTCCCCTTAGGACTGGGAGTAAGCTAGGTATTTCTCCTCTGATGCTGGCTGCTATGAATGGCCATGTACCTGCTGTGAAACTGTTGCTTGATATGGGTTCTGATATTAATGCCCAAATTGAGACCAACCGGAATACAGCCCTCACCCTAGCCTGTTTCCAAGGCCGAGCAGAGGTGGTCAGTCTGCTTTTGGACCGGAAGGCCAATGTTGAGCACAGGGCAAAGGTAAGTGTGTGAATTGCCTTTCCTTAGGACTTATTTCCAGCAGGTGATTTCTCTGAATCAAGTTTCTTCAGATTTTCCCTTTACTTTGAGCCTCTCTGGGCTCAGAGGACTTGCTGAATCAGAGGACTTATTACATGTTCTGAAATAAGTTTGGTGGATTTTTTTTTTTTTTTTTTTTTTTAAAGCAGCAATGATGAATTTCTTGCATTGGGGAAAAGCTGACTGGTCCTATGTTCATAATGAAACTTAGGTTGACTCTTGTTGTGTAGTACTGAGGCACTTTTCAGGTTTAAGCTTGACATGATACTCATTAACAGAACAGATATATATATATATTTTTACATATGAGTAAAGTCTAGTCAGGAAGAGAATAGTGTTGCTTATAGTGATTCTCATATAGAACAGGTTTCTTACCTACAACAGAAGTAGTGCAATCAAACTTTGTAAAGCTTTTACGTTGCTGTAGAACCCATGGCTTCAGTACTGTGACTTTCTGTGCCTCTGAAATGCTCCACAGGTCCCATCCTTTGGTACTCTGGGACAGCTTTGTGTCTCCTGCCATAAAGCAAGCTTAAAGCTTGTGTAGACAGCCAGACTGATTTCCCCAGCACAAAGGAATTTTTGGTAACTCCTAAGGCTGCTGAAATAATTGCTGTGTCTGTCTACCCCGCCTGCTTCTGGAATGACTGTGGCTGGAGAAAAGGGGATATGGATAAAAGCCAGCTCTCAAATGGTCAGTTGGGCATGTTAGCAGCTGGTATAAGTTTATTTAACAGTCTAGCCTGGCAAATGAGTTGGGCCCTGATCAGTCTCAGCGCTAGGGGAGGCTAGAGAAAAGCTATAAAGCCCGTTTCGGAGTATTTTCATAGAAACACTTGTGTCTTCATTTGGGTCTATTCTAACCTTTGTTTTAGAGATCCTGTTGTAAACTTTGTTTTTTGCTGTTGAGATGGGTATCTGGTGGTACTTAGTCCACAGTTTGCCTGGGTATAAATCAAAGCCCAAGGGTATTTGGTTGGTGGTGGTTTGTGTGGTTGGGTTTTTTTTGGGGTGGTTTTTTTTTTGTGTGTGTTTTTTTTTTTTTTCCTGAGACACTGCTTGAGGTTAGGCTCCTAAACTAAATATAAGCAGATAAATAAAATTTACATGATTTCCCTCTGTAGAAATCATTTATGTCTTATCCGAAGTACATTGTAAAAATTTCATAGTGTAACTCATTATCTTTGCGCAGACTGGTCTCACACCTCTGATGGAAGCAGCTTCAGGAGGATATGCAGAGGTTGGAAGGGTTCTCCTCGATAAAGGAGCAGATGTTAATGCTCCGCCTGTGCCTTCCTCAAGAGATACAGCTTTAACAATTGCAGCAGATAAGGGTCACTACAAGTTCTGTGAGCTCCTGATTAATCGGTAAATTATTTCTTCTCATTAGCAGCATGTTTTTTTTGTAGATGTATTTCTTTGTGGCAAGGGTGCCGTTGTTTACATTGCCTTGTGTATCTGAGAGCAGAGGGAACGGAAAGCTTTGGAAGCAGGATGTTGTATCTGTTCCCTACTCTCCACTGTTATCCTGGAGTATCCTGCTACTCCAGTGTTAATTAAGCTAAGTAGGCAGCTGGTGGACCAGAGGTAAGTGAACAGTGTCTGGCTTCCCTGCTGTGTTGGCTTGTATTAATCCAGCAATTCCCACATGAGCATTTCCCTGCTGTCACTTAGGGGACAAAGCCTGGAAGTAGCTCTTGAATTCCTCCAGCATAATCCTATTGTGCTGCTGAAATCTCAAGGGGCTTCTGTGTGCTGTGGGTAATCTGCACACTAATGATGTAAAGGACCATGGTTGCTGGTTGCATAGCTATGGTGCAGTAGGCTACATTAGGGGAGTGTTCAGTTCGGTAAGGGAGGTTTAAATATTCCCTGTGTCACTATGTTGCAACTTCAGAGAGAGATTTCAGGGTCTGAACTTGTCTGTCTAGCCACTAGATTTCAGTGAAGTTACATACCCAGTTATACTCTGATCTTCGTGATCTTGCTTCCTGATTTTGATGTTTACTCATACCTGTCAGGGACCAAAACCCTCAGTCCTGGGGTTAGGCTTTAGTCCCAAGCAAATTCGAGATTCCCAGAGGCAAATGAAGGTGGATCCACAACAAGCAACTAACAGTTTCAAGTGCTTATTTGAACAGGGGTTGAAACTTAACTCTTAACAAAAATGCTTAACGAGGAGAGAAAAAATGAGATAAAGGGAAAGGTAGAGAAGTAGAAAGATATCACCACCAGCTGGTGGTTCCAGCTGGTTTTGGTGGCCTTTGTAGCCTAGATCCAAGGTAGCAGCGTGCCGTGTGGAGTGGATTGACTCTCTTTTATAAACCCAGTTTCCTAGGACAGTTCCCCTGAGCAGGGTGTGATGAGCATGCTTGTGCAAGTGCAGTTGCTTGTTTGAGAATGTTCCAATATTGAGTCTGGGAGTTTCTGAGGGTCCCTGGTGGTTGCAAGCCCTCATACTTTTCGTGACCTGCACTTTACCTTAAGGAGACCGTTCGGATACGTGGTGAGGGGCAGGGCAGTGTCCTGCCTCTGCAGGGTGCTGGTCTATGCCCATCACCCTCCATTCTCCTAGAGCTTCCAGAGTTATTTGAAGCAAACAAACCCTTTACTGTTGGTCTCTTACAGTGCCTTATTTCACTCGATTACACTTGCAATTTTTTTAGGGGAGCACATATTGATGTTCGTAACAAGAAAGGAAACACACCCCTGTGGTTGGCAGCTAATGGTGGTCACTATGATGTAGTTCAGTTGCTTGTGCAAGCGGGAGCAGATGTGGATGCTGCAGATAATCGGAAAATTACGCCTCTTATGTCAGCGTTTCGCAAGGTGAGAGACCAACTTAATTTTGTTTCAATGCTAAATGTTTTCAAAACGGCGTTTCTCATTTAGCCTTAAATCTGAATGCTTGGTTTTGGAAGAGGCAAATACAACACAGCCAAATACCTATTTTGATAAAATGTTTGCTTTAAAGTAATAATCTGTACTTCACACAGATGAGATTTTTGAGAGGTGAAAAACTTTGTTCCATAGGCCATGTTAACTCTATTTCTAGTTACGCACTTACTGTCCAAAAACTTTTGACTGTTTGAGATGCCACTGTCTTGAGATTACCTTAGTCCCTTCTACATTTCTGCAGATTGTACTACTTGTTCTGTCCTGTTTTTGCGGTGAAGAAAATACAGTCTGTACTAAGATGTCCTGATTCCTTTATGCTTTTCCTGTTCTGTTCTTAGTTTATTGTTGAGTGGGATGTTTTGTGTAGTTGCCTCTTTGGCTCTGCCTTTTCTTCTTGGCAGGAACAACATTGCTTTGTGATGGTTTCCTCAGTTATCTTGTGGGAGGCAAGGAGCGTAGTTATAGCAGAGGAATTTATTAACTCTAGCTGCTTTGCCTTTAACAAAATATCAAATAAGTAAGTTTTTTGACAAACAGCAGTACTGACCATGTCACTGCTGTGCCTCCATTGCTTTCAGATAACTTCAGAGGCAACAGCTGGATAGTTTCTGTGTGGTTGCACAGTGTAACCCATCAATGAGTGGATCCAGCAGCAGAGGAATATGTTTGCCGGGATAATATTCAGGTTTCCTGATCAGACTTACCTTGTAATTGAACAATCTAAGCTCGCTCTGTGGCATGAGTGGGAAGAGAGTAGGTTGGGGTGACATGTGGTATCTAAAGAGGGTGTTGGCTGTTAATATAAACATGAACAGCTGGCTCTGCTCTTGGGCCTGGTTTGGTCCCTGTATTTTAAAATGAAAACCTGCATGTGGGAGAGCTTGCCTTTGCCATCATGATGCAGAAGAGCAGACATGCTGTCAACACTGAGCAAACAGTAACTACTTTTCTTCCTAAACAGCAGCTTATCAGAAATGTTCTTGCTCATTTTTGCATTGGACTAAGAGATATCAAACTTGTATTTTGATAATGAATGTTGATAATTCTGTACAAGGGATTAGAATTTTCTTTACTGCTTTAGGGGCATGTGAAAGTAGTTCAGTTCCTGGTGAAAGAAGTTAACCAGTTTCCTTCAGACATTGAATGCATGCGATACATAGCAACAATAACTGACAAGGTAAGTTTAACTTTGGGGAAAAAAAACCCTGCCCCTTATTTTTAGCAAAAATATACATGAGAAATTCTTAAGTGTTCAAAACCAGAATGTACGTGTTTGCTCATGTACGTTTGATTTGGAGGTTTGTGCATGTCTCCTTTTTAATACAGAACTTAAAACGCTTCTTTTTTTTTTTTTTGAGCCCTACTCTATGGAAATAGTGTGTATGTTTATGAATACAGGGAGGCTAATCTCATGTTTGTAGAGCAAGCCTCATGCCTCATTTTCAGTTTTATTACGAAGGTAGTAAGGCAAGCTTGCATTCCAGGACCTGTTGAAAAAGTGTCACCAGTGTGTGGAGACAATTGTGAAAGCTAAAGACCAGCAGGCTGCAGAAGCAAATAAAAATGCAACTATATTGCTGAAGGAGCTAGACCTGGAAAAAGTGAGTAGAGAATTGCTGTCATGCAGTGTAACAGTTTGAACTACCTATTAATCTGTAGGCTGTATTTCTTGTTGTCGCTTCCTGGGGCAGTGGTTCTTCATGCCGTAACTCTACGTGCTTTCCTTCCTGCAATATACAAAAAGCGTAGCTTATACTGAGCATGGCAGATTAGAACTGACTTCTGCTTCAGCCACTCCATTGTCCTTTTTAGGAAAGGTTGGACCTGGCAATAGTTACTTTAGGTAATAGCTCTTTTGCACTACTTTAGCCCAGAAGACAGGTGAGTAAGGGAGGTCTTCAGTCTTAGTGGTGTGATACTTGGTTACGTTACATATTGTGTAAGACGTAATCCATAAGCATATTATGGACTTGTACTCAATGTAAGAAAGGAGAACCTGCAGGATGCCTGATGATTTATATGGAGTTGAGCAGATAGTGCAGAAAATCAACTTCTCCCTCACTGACAATATCGTGAAGTGTCCCAGAAGTAATGCAGACCTCTCTTAAGCACAATAAAGTGGGTTCTTAATGGAGGCTTTTACAATTTTTGATAAACAAGTTTCATGTTAGTTTATTAAATTTTCCAGATTGCTGACTTGTTCAGCACCGATCAATTGCTGTGAAAAGCTGCAGTATGGCATAGTTGGCTTCAGTGATGCGACATTTTAAAAAAAAAAAAAAAAAAAAAGGTTAAAATGATAGCAGTTCTTTCTGTAAAATACTCTGGGAGATCTTTTTGAGTCAAAGATGTGAACGTTGCTGCAAAAATATTGATGAGGTTATTAGATGTTTTGTGAGAGGGGACTGAGATGATGAGAGATCTTGCTGGTTTTCCAGTAAAATTATATTTTTGTAACAAATATTATATTTTTGTAATTGTTATTTTGTTGTCAGTCCTTACAAGTTTTGGGACCAACTAGTCCTGTTGTTCTGTAACATCTACCCAATGTCCGCATAATGATTCAGTATGTGACAAAGTAATTCTAGTTCATTGTGTTCTTTCCTTTATCCTTACCCCCCAGATTTCTAGGGAAGGTCTGAATTATACCTTAGTCTGTTTGAAAATGTTTAAATATTGATCCTTTTCTTCTACATAGTCAAGAGAGGAGAGCAGAAAACAAGCACTTGCAGCTAAAAGGGAGAAAAGAAAGGAAAAGAGAAAGAAGAAGAAAGAGGAACAAAAAAGAAAACAAGAAGAAGATGAAGAAAATAAGCCTAAAGAAACTCTGGAACTGCAAGAAGATGATGATGAAGAAGAAAACGATGATGAAGGTAAAGCACAAGTGTTTCTATGAACAATGTAGTTGTTAGGGGTGCCTTTTTTTAACCGTCTGAGTGAGGGAATCTGTAAGAAAGATGGCTTCTCTAGTACTGTGACATTGTTGCATAGCTTTTGCTCTGGTTCTTTCCAGTCAGATTTCCTGGCAAAGTTCCTTTGTTCACTTCCCCCCCCCTCTCCTTTTTTCACTCTAACCCCCCCAGCCCTTTTTTTTTTTTTCACTCAACCCCCCCCCCCCACTCCCCATTTGTTCATTTTTTTTTTTCCCCCACACTTTGTTCCCAGAAGTCTTTCACTCTTGGAGGATTTACAGCTGAATGTGGTGCAGATAGTCTGACAGCTCAGTAAGGAGCACAACTTCAGCTGGAGCATCTTCAGTCAGGGCACTGATTTCTGTATTTTGGGATTCTTGATTGTATATCAACTGTTTTTCTTTCAGTGGAGCAAGAAGTTCCTATAGAGCCTCCTAGTGCAACTACTACAACTACAATTGGAATTTCTGCAACTTCAACTACTTTCACTAATGCCTTTGGGAAGAAGAGGGCTAATGTGGTGACCACTCCCAGCACAAATAGAAAAAATAAGAAAAATAAAACAAAAGAGACTCCTCAGAATATGCAGATAATTTTGCCAGATCAGCATATTTCTCTAGCACAGCAAAAAGCAGATAAAAATAAAATAAATGGCGAGCCAAGAGGTGGTGGTGCAAGTGGGAATAGTGATTCAGATAACTTGGATAGCACAGATTGCAATAGTGAAAGTAGCAGTGGAGGTAAAAGCCAAGAACTGAACTTCACAATGGATACAAATTCCTCTGAGCGGCGCTATGCCTCATTGCTTATCCCCTCTCAGGAAGAAAAAACGAGCACCTCTGCTTCAAAAACTCCAACGAGGTGAGACTGCCCTATTGCTTCCCTGCTGTTTCACAGGGTTTTACCTGTGCCACTGTAAATTTTCTGTAGCTTAAGCTTTACACCAGCTGATGCATTCCAGAAGCCTTGAGAGTCTGGGTTTGCTTTATTTGAATACCTATTAAATAATACTGTTAGGTTTGAACTCTTTAAAATGGTAACAATAAGACTTTTTTTTGGCATTGTTAGCTACTTACTAATACTACTTTAACAAACCAACCAGTTTTCTCTTTGCGCTGTTTAAGCATCTCTGTTGCAGTATTAACTTTAGTAGAATAGATTTTAAAGAGAATATGCTGGAAATTTATAAGTAAAGCTGGCACTTCTTTTTTAATGGGTTATGGAAGTGCTTTCATTACCTTTTGTTTATGGTTTCATCATTAACTCATTTGAATTGCAATCTCTTTGTTTTAAGGAGGGAAGAAGTTGATGACTCTGAGCATTTTACCTGCCAGGTTGATGGCCAGTTTGATTTAACCTTGTCGAGCCAGAGGTGAGAGTTAAAAGAACTCTGTGAATGTACAGGGGCCATATACAGGGTTTTGTAAGATCATTCGTTTGCTAGGGAATGAGCTAATAACTTCTGTAACACTGGTTTCTGAACAGGTCATTGGTCTGAATCAAAACGCTTAGATCCCATCTGAATCTGTAGTCTTTGCTTATTTTCACATTTAACTGGTATGAGTCCGATCCTCCATAGTCTGATTTTTGTCTTTTCCTGCATTATGGGAGGGGAGAGGGTATGGACGTTGATCTGCAGGACACATCTGACTGAGAAGGCAGCTTCAGTAAGAACACAAACGTTTGGGGTGAAGAAGGGCAGCGTGCGAGAAGGCTTGTTTGCCAAACTGATTGAGGCACGTGTCTGGGAGGGGGAGGAGAGTTGAGATTTTTTTTTTTTTCTTTCCCCTCCAGATTGAAGTTAGGTGCAGAATGAGTGAATTTGTTAGCCCTTGTGCTTGGGGGTATGTGGCTTGGATTACCCGTAGGAATATTAGAAATTGGATCTTGCCTGTGTTCTGTTTTATGAGCATGAATTGTTTCTACCTTGGACCTTTCATCCAAGGTCTCCTACAAAAGCATGTAGTGTATTCTGTGCAGTTCACTACATCAGGACTAATTGGATGCATACTTGTAATTCTTTGTTCGAAGCGATGCTACTGTTAGATAAAGCATCTAAGAAACAAGACAGTATATAAATCATAGAATCATAGAA